GTTTTATTTTTTAGTTTGGTTGGGAGTGAACAGAAGTCTGCAGGGATAGAAATATGTACAATTGTTAGCAAGCTTAAATTTGGTTTATTCATGCTAAATATATTATGCATAATTTAGAAAGCAGCTGTAATTTGTTTGGTATATTTATGAAATGTTAAAAGTATATCTGCTTCATTTTTATTCATATACAAATTAAATATACCCAGTGCTTAGGTATGTGGCTCTGTGTGTGTGTGTGTGTGTGTATAAATATAAGCATGTGTGTGTATAAAAATAACATGGGAGATTGGCTACCACAACATGTAGTGGTAACCACTAGCTTAAGACAGACTTGATGGAGTGCTGATCCATTAACAGCTAATCTCAATGACCTGATGGAATCTTGAAGTTCAACTGCAAATACCTCTGAGCTCCCCATATCTTAGGGGAGAAATAAAATAGAGGGCAGCTTGAATGAAATGAGTGTCTCTGTAGCTATGTGCCTCAGATCTGGTCACATGATTGTTCCTTGCCATTCATCATTGTAGAAGGGGGTTGCATATTTAGGGAAAGATTGTTATCTAGGTGATGTCCTCCAAGAAAACCTCTTCTAAAATCACCTGGTATAAATTCTTTTTGCCCAGTAGAGGGGAGTGTTGCCCATCCACTGCCGTCCGTGTAGCTCAGGCTAAATATGTGAGCATAAGATATTTGTTAACACAAGCAACACCCTCTTGTGTCATGCCATAGTAAACTGGCTTCTTTGCTTTTCTTTTTTTCACTTATTTGTGTTGCAGCTTCTAATAGGAGCTAATGTATAGGTGGCCTATAGGTTACTTGGTATCTGCTCCTGGAACAAGTAACTAATACAACTACATTTATGGAACAGGACATGCACAGTTCAGTTCTTTGGAAGTATTTGTGCACATGCACATATGCATACACGTATGTAGCAGAAAAGATTTTAGGAACTGGGATGAAGTCCAAGTAGACCTCTCCTCCTGTGATTCAGCCCTACCTAATTAGCTTATTATTTTATGAATGAATGAATGAATGAATGAGCAGGGATTTCTTCCAGCACTCTTAAAATAAGGAGTGGATTCTTTTGGAAAGAGAGAAAGGAGGGTGTTGATGGGAGTTTCAGTGTAATGAATCAGGGTTGCTGAGGGAGTTTTAGCCCTACCACAGTCCATGTGGTAAAGTGGCTAAGTAAGCATGCTACTGTAATTATAGCCTTTCTGCAGCATGCATGAAACTCTAGTACTAGCAAGCTATGAGCAGGAGGCAAATATGAATGTAATCCTCCAAGTGGTTAAAGCAAGAAAAAGGCAGAGAAATTAAAGTGCTCGTTCATCCCATTGGTACCTTGGTCATGATTAGAAGTACATTTTACAGGTTGCTTGATCTTACCCTTGAATGCGTCTACAGGTAGTCCTCGGGTTATGATGGCAATTGGGATCAGAATTGCCATCGCTAAGCACTGTAAAGTACAACACCACGTGACTGCGTTGCTTAGCAACGGCAGTCCCAGTTGCCACCATTAAGCGAGAACCATATGGGTCATAAAGCGAGGACCATGCATGACCGCAACTTCTGACTTCCTGACGGATTCCCCGTTGACTTTGCTTGTGGGAAGCCAGCAGGGAATGTTGGAAATCATGATTACGTGACTGCTGGGACGTTGCAGTGGCTGGAACTCTGAAGACCAGTTGTAGGTCCCTCTTGTTCAGCACTATCACAAGTTTGAACAGTCACTGAAAGAGTGGTGGTAACCCGAGGACCACCTGTAATGTATGAGGCACCTTGGTCTTCTGAAACAATAAGAACTGCTTTACTTGGTCACCTGCTTGCTGTAGTTTATAATGGGCTGTACAAGATGCTGTAGTGTAGGTATAGAAAAGCATGGAATTACTTATGGTCTGTTATTCATTCTTTATATTAGTGGGCATTAGACTAAGAATGGTTGCTGTATTCTGTACGTGTAAAATTCCTAGCCCAGCTTTCTTTTAACTAGAAGCAATCAATTCTGTATAGTTATAACTGTATTAGATTTGTAATTACCGTATTTTTCCGACAATAAGACGCTCCCATGTACAAGACGACCCCCACTTTTCCAACCCAAAATTAAGAAATCAATATTTTAAAGATAGTGCAGAACACATTTTTATTTAGTAATTAGGTATTACCGTATTTTTCTGACTATAAGACGATACTTTTTTCTAAAATCGGTATTACCGTATTTTTCTGACTATAAGACGATACTTTTTTCTAAAATCGGTATTACCGTATTTTTCTGACTATAAGACGATACTTTTTTCTAAAATCGGTATTACCGTATTTTTCTGACTATAAGACGATACTTTTTTCTAAAATCCTTCAATTTTTAGGGTAAGGATTTTAGAAAAAAGTATCGTCTTATAGTCAGAAAAATACGGTAATACCGTACAGGGAATACGATTGCACCATAAAGCAGAGAGAAATGCAGTTTACTTGGTATGTATCTTGACACTGGCATAATTAGATTAAAACCAGAATAAATTAATACTGGGGAGAAACTTGGGGAATCTAGTGTTCCCTTTTTTTTTGCTGATAAAATAATCACTCTGACCTCTGGCCACATGGGATCTATCCATTAACATGTGTATAGCTCATATTTTAAAACACTAAAATGATTATTCTGTTGTAAGTTACATGTTTAGAAGCGCCACAAATTCTACACATTTGTAACACCTACAAAATAAGGACATTTTTCATGTACAGAAGTATCCACAGATCTGCATATTCATTCTTCAGATTATTGTTGGCCAATAAAAAATAGATGAGGTGATGTAACTTGGGGGCAAGCTACAAGGAGATTTTCCCATTGGAGTTCCACTGTGTAAATAAGAAAGAAGAATAACGGGGCAATAAAGAGAAGGACTTGATGGTTCTAATTTTCTGTGACATTTTCCCAGTGTGAAGTACTTGTACCGCTTTACCTGCTATTTTCTCTGCTGGCTTAGAATTCTAGGATTTTAGTCCTAGAGGGCACCAGTTTGGGAAGTTTGTTCATTTAAGCTTGGCGTTTAGGTGTAATTCTCAGTGAGAAGACATACTTTTCAGGTATCTAAGCTATATGCCTGTTGTTAGTGCATTACAACTCCCACCCCACCTCCCAAATCCCTTCATACATAAAATTAGCTGCTATGTTCATACATTAAATTCTTTAAGGAAGCATTC